CCCATATGGAACTTCATCCACGGTAGTTAACTGGAGTGGTAATGGTACAACAACCAATAACATCGGTTATCAAGGGCCGTTAACGGATGGGGTGACAAATGCTGTGCCCGAGGCGTTTGGTGTGTATTCATGGGCATCCGGGACGAAGGCTCTTTATTCTGACTTTGCCGGACGTACATGCAGGGAAGACTTGCGAAGAAAGTGGAGGCATTGTTTCAGGGAGTACCTCCTCATTACTTTAATTTTTGTACCAATAATGACCAGGAAGGCGGAACTCCTGGTATTACAGCTTTTAATACGGTGCAAAATCCAAACAGATTGAGTGCTCTGAACGATGATGCTGTTGGAGCATCCATATAGCCCCGACAGTCTGTCGCAAACTTTCACGGATGTTACCGGGTAAAAACGGTGGATACATGAGGAATAGAAGTGTTCTTTTAAACTGCACAGTGCAAAGAAAGTAAAGCCGTTTTTATTCGATAAGTCACAAAAAGCAAAAACATCGAAAGAGTGGTTGTTTAAAGTTATTAGCTGAGGTGGGTATTATATTTTCATTGTCCTATCGTCAATTATATTATGGCACGAACCATACTCAAATATTTCCCAGTTATTTGTTGACTGAGATAATTGTCAATATCGCATGGATGGTGTGTTAAAGGTTGTGTAATAATTGTCTTCAAATAATAGAATCTGCCTGCGAGTAGTAGGTGTTTTTAGTGTGCCATCAAATGAACCATTGTCGAGGATCCGATATTCATGGGGCTTGTTTTATAGAAGATGGTATGGTTGATATATTATGTATGCTAAAATAGAACATATGATAAAGGGAAATATAATTCTGATACTGACTTTTTTTATGATAGTAGCAATCCTGGTTACTGATATCGGTGTTGCAGCAGAATTAAATACAAAAGTGAATAGAGAAAGTGAGAAAGCGGATTTAAAGACGCTCTCTGTTAATATGAATAATCACACGAATGCTCTCAAGAAACATGCAGACAGTGTCAGTAATTCAGTAATATCATCTGTTAAGCAGATGCAGTCAGCGCAACAGAAAAAACTGTTTTTACAGATGGAAATTGATGAAATACGAAGTTATTACCAGATGGGAGGGGTAACAGACATATCAAAGCGAAATGTGTTAAATCAGAAAATTAGCCAACTGGAAAAGGAGCGAGCCAATATTCGTTGAAAAATAAACCACTTGTATAATATTATCTCTTGGTTTGACTTTATATTGAAATTTGCACTGCTCATTATGGTAAATCACTTTGCGGGTACGATAAGTCAATTAGTCTTTTGAAAAACAAAGTAATTAAGAGCGTGACAACCATGTTAAATAAAATTATTTTCATTTTGCTTATTGTTTTTTTGGCCATTTTTTCTTTATGCATTACTTTGCTAGTTGCATTTGAATAGTTGTCAATTTATTCACAGGCTATTTAAATCACAGCCATTTAAGTAAAAATTTGCAGATAATGTTTCCGGAAAAACGGGGGCATGATACCCCCTCCTGTTATTATTTTGAGGTAATAGTAATAGTCATTGTTCCATCGGTCCGACCCACATTGCTAGTGGTATTTGGTCGTACCCATAACTCTCGAACACCTGTACTTATCCCTTGAGTCATTATATCTGAAGAATTCTCGAATCTTGTAACCTTCAACGGTAGGGAGCTTGCATATGAAGCCAATACAGTATCTGTTGTTTTCAATATTTGTACAGGTTTTTCCTGCTTCGCCATGAGTGTTACTGAGTCGGCATACTCGATGTTAAACTCTCTTATTTTATCCGGTTGTCCTATAGTTACCACATATTGTCTGCTATCGCTATTAGGCACAAAACTCTGGGGGGCATCCCCCACTTTATTTGCAGTTCCGTACGCCTTTAACCCACTCCATCCAGGCCCGTGATCAAATATTGCACCTGATGCTATGGTATCTACAGCAATGGCAATACGTGGATTTTGCATAATCCCTCCGATTGTACCATGAAGGTTACACACAATTTTTTTACTATTACTTTGTTCAAGCGGTGGAATATTAACTATATATGATGTAACTCGTTCGGTATTTCGCGTCAGTACTTGTCCGTCCATAGTACAAACACCGTCCCACCAGTCTGGTCTTTGATCTCCAGAAAGACGCCCATTTGCACTACCGAACACGATAAGCTTTAATTGCTTACCTTGAGAAACTGTTTCTATACCACTAACGTCAGCCGTGAAGTGAACTTCGTAATCTCCCCGAACACTTCCCGTCTTCAGTGTAGTGACTCCGGCCATTGAATTTGAACAAAAGAATACACTAACGCAAAATCCCAATAACAGTTTTTTCATTACCCACACCTTTTTTTACAGTCGCCAAAGTTAAAAAATATCTGCTACTTGTAATCAGTAATCAATTTTTACCCTTTATCTATAAATTCAAGTCAGCCTTTTTGTGGCCATTCTCAGCGATAAACAACATCAAATGCCAGGGTGATACTTACCTGCCCCTCCCTCTGGTACCGTGGACAAAAGGTTTCAGTGTGTATCTGTTTCTCACAGTGCCTGATGTGATTCCCTCACAGAATGGTGTCAGTGAGATACTTCCGGCACTGTTTCCCCATCGGAGCCAGGTTTCCATTCTGTAATGTCAGCCACAACTCACCACTTTTAACTGTCGGACTATCCACAGAATACAGATCTACATGATTTACGTTTGCCTGAAATACCCCTGCAGACCAAAGTGTCAATGCGGTCTTCACTTCCGAATCCCCATCACAAATCATATTTATATTCACCTCACTCTCCTTTCAGGGAGTAATGCTCTAGGTTTCCCCAGTCATTGATGGTTTCAACATTTATCGTCTTTATATATGCAGGAATGCTTTTCACCGCCACTTCACTAAACGGAGCCATTACAGAAACAGCTACTTCTTCTTCCTTACTCAAGGGGATATTATGATCATTTACTTTTACCTTTGTAATAGCAAAATAGTACGGTGTCGGATTTTTCAGAAAAGTGATACCACTTTTTTGAATCAGTTTCATCCTTTTCTCCGCGCCATTACGCGCCTGAACAAGACTCCTTGGCCGGTAAAAAAGCTTGACCCTGCTGTTCAAGGCAATGGATAAAATGGGATCATCAGCTTTCTCCGCTTTGGGAGGTATTTCCTGTACGTTTAACCAAAATAAGGACTCCCTGTCTTCAGGTAAAGGAACTCCTCCTTCTGTTTTCAGAATACGTAGAATTTGTGTCTGTTTCGGTGCCAACTTAAAAAACGGTGGTGTTGGCACCATATATACACCACTGTTCTTGCTTTGATTGTCTATCCAGACTTGTCCTCCGTAAGTTTTGTCTGCGTCATTAGTTACATCAAAGGAAGTATTTTTTCTCCCCTCTTCATAAATAAAACGAGTCCCCCCCAGAGTGAAGGCAGCCATAGTTTTGTTACAAATGGTTAATGGGAGAAACAATACCACACACCATATAATCATATTCTTCACGACAACTCCTGTACTTAACTTTGAGTCATGACTCACGGTTACAGAAAAACAACAAATGCCTCTTCTATTCTCTATACTGATTTATCTTAATTCCTTTGACATTAACAATATCCATATCACATGCAGACTGAAACTTCTTATTTAGATTACCACTTGTATATGTGTTATTTTACATGATTATCTTGTCCATACTATGAAATAAAATTATTAATACCAATACGCCCAAAATTAACTGTCTGCTGGATATATTTAAAACCCATTGATACACTTGAGTTAATCAAAAAAACCATCACACTCAATCGCAATATAAAGATGGGGGTTCAGCCATAAACAACAATTTTGACATATTAATGGTAATGGCATTATTTAACAATATTAAAATAAAAGCTTATACAGCCAATCTGTTTTTTTATTGTCTATTTGTGCATTTATCAATAACAAGATACATATTATCCATTTTAAACAATGTGTTATCTGTTGTTTTATTTGTTACCTCCTCCATCTGCATTATTTAGAGGCATATAATCCATAATTGTACAATAGTTATTCAGTTGCATATTAAGGGGGGTTATAATTTTTATCAGATACTGGTTTTCAATAAAACACTAAATACCCAAAACCTGCAAAATACTGTCTTGTATCTGTAGCTTTACGAATTCTGAATAACTGCCTCCGTTGCGTTATGAGTCAATTACAGAAAAGTCTATGTTACATGAGATTTATACTCCCCATATAAGCAACCGGGAGAAGCATGAGGTAACTTCTTCTTGTGGCAGAACTGGTATTCTAACAAAATACTCTGGTTTATGATTCTCTGAAATTCGTGCTCAATGCCAGTGGAGATGTTAACGTACTGAGCCCGCCAGCTTGATATGGTTGTATGAATGATTAACTGCAGAATATACTTCGGCACTGGTATTCTAGGTTAAAATGAATGTGGACGTTGTGGATATATAGCACCCCACATTTTTCTACTCTTTTATTCCAGGACATACTCCTTCGCATTCGCTATGTAGTGTTCCTCAGGCCAAATTTTTATGGCAACTCAGTGGTTGAGGCTAATTTGATTATCAGCATTCATCTTTCATTTTTGTCACACAAACAAAAAATGAAAGATCACCTGGAAGATTAGTGCACAAATAGACAACAAACAAGGAAAGATGAGATCTAAACATATTTTATGTTGTATAGTAAGGAAATATACCATGAAAAAATTAAATGCAACTCTTCTCGCCATGTGTCTAGCTTTATCTGTGGCAGACCAGTGTATAGCGGGTACAACAACCCTATCATTATCTCCACAAGCCATGGGTTACATGTGGAGCATTAGAATGACATACACCCCGGAGAGTGCGGGAACTATATGGGTAGGATTAGCCCCCCAAAAGGCACTAAATGATACATTTAAGATATTGTCAGCATCATGTTCTGGTTCTCCTACCACTCCTGACATGACGCGGGCCGAAATTAATCAACTGAATGGACATAATGGTCGAGAAGCAGGCGCACTGCTCGTCGGATGGCTGGAATTGGGGGACAGCGTAGTGGGTCGACCGTCTTACATAGATTGTAATGGCGTACTGGAAGTACAAGCCAGTGCAGTAGCAGACCCAGACTACTCACTATACTTGTACACCTCTGGTTCACCTTCGTATCAGGGTATAACCTCGAATCGAATCAGCATTTCGGGCAAAAATAAGGAATGGTCAGGCCCCCTCCTGTCAGGCAACAGATATCCAATTGCGACACCACCTGACCTTAATAACAAAGGCATATTATCAATACAATATGCCGACAATATATCCCTCAAACAACCAAACGAACACAAAGAAGTGATGCGTATGGAATGTGATATGAAGAACTGCAATTCTGTGCGCACAATATCTGTTACACCTACGTGCCATGGTGAGGCCTGTGATTACCTTTCTATGCAGGATAATAATGGCGGCAAACTCCTGTGGGGAGAAACTAACACCATGCCACCGAATGCTATAGTATCAGTGACATCGACATATTTAAAGACAGGTACTCGGGCAGGAAACCTGAATATAGAAATTAGCCCCAAATGATATATTTATTTTCTGTATAACGCTCTGTCTCTTTATAGAGTGGAGATGGGGCCTTTTTGCTGAAACAGCAATACCGTACTTTTATTATCTGCGTTTGCAACGGGAGTAAATCACATACCCTTGACCACTATATACAGACAGTTGTTGTGCTTATATTAACGTTATCCGCTGATGCCGCCCTTCCCTTGGTGAGAGATAGCCCAGCACCCTATGCTGGATGCAATGTTCGCATACCCCTGCAAAATTATGCAATACTGTGACTTTGAGGGGTTGTCAGCTACTGTTATAAATTTTGCCAGATTCAACTCTCTGGCGAATCTGCTGTGTTTCATGAGCCGTATAAGCTGAACCGTTATCTGTCAGGCATTCTGGTCTATCGCCAAAGCGTTTTTCTATCGCTCCTGACATGACATCCTGCACCGTTGCTTTGTCATAACCTCCCATGCTTACGGCCCAGGCTATGGCTTCACGATCGCAACAGTTCAGTGCGAACGTGACACGCAGTTTTTCGCCATCATCACA